TCATTTGCCTAAATACCTTCTTCTCTAAGTGCTGTACTTTGCACTCATCCTAATTAATCCATACCTTTTGCATCATTATCAACCCCCAGCATTTCTAATGGGCCACCACACACATACCATTCAAAATATGAGATTTCTCCAAAATGTTTCCTTCACTTGTTTCCCCAGGAAGAAGTGGTTCCACTTTCCAAACAACCCTACTTGGGTAAAGTACCTCCCTCTTTGGAGAGGGGGGGGCTTCACCCCTCCCAAACACCTTCCTACACCTTTTACAGTGGTTCTCTAGGCCAGGGCTGTATCTAGAGCAGTAGTTTTCAACCTTTTTCATTTGCAGATCCCTAAAAAATTTTGAATGGGGGTGCAGACCCCTTTGAATTATAAGTGCAAGCATTCACATACTTTTGATTGATCATAGTTATCTTCCGCAGACCCCTTAGACATAGTCTCCAGACCCCCAGGGGTCTGTGGACCACAGGTTGAAAACCACTGATCTAGAGCATTAGGTTATGTAGTAAGGGAGAGGCTATGGCACTGCTTTTCAGCCAGAAATTATTATGCCACTTAGTGAGCCCTCTTTGAGTGTGTGGCTGATTAAATTTGCAGGCTGACTGCAGACCATTTACTATGCCCTCATGGACAACAGATGGTTCACAGACCATAGTTTTAGAACCCCCATTTTACATAATATGTCCATACTTTGATTATTATATTGTCATGGGAAGACAGAGTCAAGATATAATGCCAGATATAATGATAATAATAATAAAAATAATTAATATTACCATTTTCAGGCCCCCTTTCTGTCCGGGCCCTGGGTGGCCACCTGGTTCATCCATGCCTGTGTCCAGACCTGTCTGCTGCTTCCCCTGTCATAGAAGAAAACTAGGAAGAAAACGCCTATGTGTCTTGTTGGTTCAGTGCTCTGGATTGGAAATTGATATGAAAATATAAATCTTTCTTCCTGCAGCTAATACTTAGCTTTAGTTGGATTTCATGGCACTCAACATACAGTCAGCCCTGTTTTATCTTGAGGAAAGAATCATTATTTTCCCCCAGTTTTCCTTGAGTTTTTATTATAGTGGGTGCATCTACATGTTCATTAATGTGATGTAGTTACTGCGCATTAAGTTTAGTTCTTGCATAACCAAGTACCACCAGCACATGGGCTTTTACAAGTGCTAACTGTGCAGTAGCCTAATACTACCGCACAGTGCTGTATTAGCATGAGTTTTGTCCGGCACACTACTGTGCTGTGTTATGCAGGCTACAGTTAGTATCTCGTAGATGCACCCAGTATGTACTATGAATTGTACATACAGTATTTTTCTATGTTATCCTAGGTTAGTTTTCTGTCCATCTCCACCTCATGCTCCTCAGGTCATTTATCTTTTTTTTAACGTTAACTCCTTCCAACTGATTGTACATACCACAAAATCTTATTTTGAAGAAATAAATTGCAACATCTTTTGATTTTAATGACTGTTGAACCAATTTTGATAGGGTTAAATAGCCTCAGCTCTGAAGGAATACTGTTGGTTATGCTCAATAAAAGGCAGGTCTTGAGAGGTAATCAACAGTGGCATGTGTGAGACATGTGATACTAAAATAGAAACTTATTTTATTCTTGCTTCCCTGTCTTTTGCTAGGTCTCTAGCTTCAAGAAAAAAAGTCCTCATGGAACAGAAGTCTTGTTAGAAACCAACAAGTCAGTCAGTCCTCTTTTCAAATACTTTTCAAATAAATTAGCACAAAACCCAAGGTTGAATATAAAAAAAGGCAATAAATGTAAGTTAAGAAATATTGTGACAAAGAAACAAATATTCACAAATCTAGCTACACTAAGAAATTATTTTATTAAATGAGGACTGATGTGCTGCCCAAGCTGCTTTATGAGAAGAAAAACCACTACCCCATCCCACTCGTATATCAAATGGAGAAAGGGAGGCAGTTAGCTGTGTGAGTAGAGTCAAGCAGAAGGTTGGACAGGATGGCACTTTAGAGACTAACTGGTTCAGAGAGGTATAAGTTTACACAGGCCACAGTGTCTGATGAAGTAGGCTGTTGCCTACGAAATCTTACGTCTCTCTGAACCAGTTAGTCTCTAACATGTCATCCTGCCCTGCCTTCTGCATTTACTGAGCACAGATTTTAAAGAACCTGACTTTCCTTCAGTATTTAAAAAAAAAAAAGACCATATCAACATCCTTATTCCTGTACTGCCAGTCATCTGTTCCTTTTGTTAATGAGAAGATGTGGCCAGACTTAGGCTAGGAGAACAATCACTGTTCCTTTTGCTTGCTACTGCTTTGTCTGAAAATAAAATTCTGGCACTTGTGTAAAAATTAAGATCAGGGCTTACATGTGCATGTGATGTGTGGAGACAAGGGGAAAATAGACTAAGGCAGTGGTTTTCAAACTTCCTAAAGTCGCAGAACCTTTTAATATTACTTCTGCTGCTGCAAATCTGCTAGTGCTGCAAATCCGCTACTCTCAGCTTTGCAGGCTGTGAGATCCTGGCAATGGTAGCTCATGACCTCCTAACCTGCTCCATCATTGCCCCCAGTCTCTTTGCAGAACCTCTGATGACTTACTGCAGAACTGCTGGGTTCTGTGGAACAGTTTGAAATCCAGTGGGCTAGAGCAAAGTACAAAGTTGGCTTGACCGCAGGCTATTCCATTAGCATCTAGGAAGTAAGCTAAACAGCATGATTACCACTACCCATTCCCTGAAGAAGTCTGCAACTAGCTGCAGTTTTTTAAATTTGCAATAGGTATAATTTCTTGTAGTTCTTGCAAGTAGAAGGCCACATTTCTCATTCCGTAATTGAAATTCTCCATTAATTGGGAACTTTCCCCACATTAGAATGACATGATTTGTCCCATAGGACTGAGCCTATAATCTAAAATAAGAGATTGCAGGAGACTCTGATCTCAGTTACTGTAGTGCTTGTAAAGAATTACTTCAGATTTGCTATTACTTGTGAGCAGAATCGTAAGGGAGAAAACTTCGGTCATGGAATCAGACGTTCACATTTCAAGAGTAATCAGGATTATTTAACCTGCGTTCACATTGTAAAATGATGTCTGTTTTTTACAATGGTGGCATTTGGTGTTAGCTGCTCTTCATACCCATTTAAATAGGCAAGGGGAATAAATGCATTTTCTAAGACAAAAACTAGTGTGAAATGTCCTAGTCTGCTAGATTTTCTCCATGTAGACTCCAAGATTTAGGCTTTTCTAGAAAGGAAACAAAAAACAAAACAACTGGGAAAACAACAATAATAATTAACACCCCCTCCCACCAATGGCTTGCCTAACTTCTTTTGATGCCAGATAGATTTCACATGATTCTCAAATGAGTGAGGCTGTAAGCTGTTTGCTGCTGGCACTGACTTTCTCTTCTGCATTTGTGCAGCAAACCAGGATCAGGCACTTGGGTGTTACAGTAATACGAACAATAAATACTGTAATTCTTTGGGTAATCCTCACACTAGACCTTTCAGTCATGTTCAGCATCTGATTTCTTTCTTACTGTGGAGAGCTAAGAGATCTCACAGGCATTAACTTTAAGGTACTTAACTTTAAGCATACAAATTCATGACCATTAGCTTTTCAGTTTAGCATATTCCTAAATTCCTAAGCAAGTGCAAGCTCAGGGCCTAGGCTGGGATCCAGGGGAAAAAAACCCTGTGGAGCTCTTCTTCCCCTCCCCATCATCGTGTGACCATGAAAGCAGCTATATAGCACAAACATTATTCAGCTCAATGTATAGATACACATAGAGCCGACCAAGCAGTCCAGTGGTTACAGGCTCACTTTGAAATACACATGGCTTGTGTCTGAAATGATGCAGCTATGTGCCAATTTTCAGTGTCCCAAGGGACTGTCAAAGCATGTTGGCAGGTATATTAGTGCCCTGATATGTCTAGGGGCAGGGTCCTGGGTTTGTTGTGATGCTGAGGGTAGGCTGCATATGCCTTTAGCCATCACTCATCAAGGGGTAGACTAGACTGCAGCAAATAACTAGAGTTCATCTTCCTGGAAGGGCAATGGGGCTATTAATTGCGGGAATATATATTTTTAAGAGTGTGTTGTGTGCGTGTACCAAGGGTTAGCAACCCCTGGCATGCGTGCCAGAGCATGGCATGTGAAACCATTTTGCTTGGGACAAGGCAGGCCCCTGCGGCTGCCCAGAGCCCAGGCTGCCCACAGCAGGTAGCAGGGAGGCTGCAAGCAGCTGCACTGGGGTCCTTGGAGCCCCAGCCCAGCTCATTGCCAGCAACAGGTGCATGCAGACATTGGGGTTCCCCCAGGACCCCAACCACTGTTGGGAAGTGGCTAGGGTTGCGTTACCACAAGGCTGAGGCCCCTCATAGCTCCCACACCATCCGCCCCTGGCACAACCACATCTTACAAGTGGAGGTTGCGGGGGTTTTTGGCACCTGGCCCCAAAACGTTGCATATGCCTGATACACATACCCCGACCCTGCTTAGGGAAGATGCAGGCCCCTCTTTCGAGGGGGAAAATGGGAGGGATGAGGGAAGAGCAAAACAGTGTCCTTGCAGCATGCTCAGGGAGCCGGCTGGAAGGGGTGTGTGCATGTGTGTGTGTATGTGTTGCAGATGGAGGGGATGCATGTGTACGAGTGTGTGATAGAGGGGATGAGTGTGAAATGTGTGTGTGTGTGTGAGTGAGAGATATGAAGAGGGTGAGCGAGTGGTGGAGGGGATGAGTGTGTGTGTAAAACGGGAGGAATGTGTGTGTGCCCATGTGTGATAGGACGAGTGTGTGTGTGAGAGAGAGATGGAGGGGATGAGTGTGTGCACACCCATGCATGTGATAGAGGGGATGAGTGCAGGTGTGTGTAAGAGATGGAGGGGATGCACAAGTGTGTAAGACAGAGGGGATGAGTGTGCACGCACCCATGTGTGATAGGATGAGTGCGAATGTGTGTGTGTGTGTGTGTGAGTGAGATGTCGGGCACGAGTGTGAGCGTGTGGCGGGGAGGGGAAAGGAGACCCCGATTTTACCCACAAGCAGGACTGAAGGGTGGGGGTGTCTGCGCCCTAGCAGCGAGGGAAGGCGACCCCCCTCACGTGAGGAAACAACCGAGCCCCGGGGAGCGGCATGGCTGGGGCGGGCCGGGCCGGCAGGGCGCCGGGGGCTGCCTGCCCCTGCCCCTGCCCAGC